CTGATGGTCCTTCCTAACCAAAGTTGCTATCCCTCGAAACAAAACAATGCAGAAATCCACCATGCAGCCCACAACATCGCCCTCGACCTTTGAGCACACCGAAGCTATGTGACCTTGTCTCCAAACAGGTACTTGAAATTTGTTTTGAAATTTCAGAAAAAGTCGATTTAACTCTTGGCGCTAATGATTACCATCACACAATCCTCCAGGAGTAGTCTTTCTTGTAAAATATCCACAGCTTTTGGAGAGGCTGCTTGTCAAAGAGACTAGTGAAATGTTATAATTGTGAGTATTTATAACTGTTTTATTATTCAAATAAAAAAAGATTTCACACGAGGTGGCGCTTTGTTGCTTTTGTCTTTTATTGTTTTGAAATTTGTTTAGGTAACCTTCATTCAAGGACACTATTACCGCAGTCCTAGCCGATCTCCATATGGGCATTACAGGCCTGCTTAACCACACCTTAAGAGTGGAACACCAAGTTGATTACTTGCAGCAGCAGGTGATTCGGGGAAATATTAGGGATCTAAACAGATCCCTGATATTTCCCTTTTAAAATAGAAAAAGAGATTGAGAACACAGAGTCCTAAATCTCTTTTTCTACAGCCCCTGTTATAAATGAACAGGAATCCTCTATGCTGAGTCTTGCTGTTCATTCATAACATGTGGATATAGTGTGATTACTATAACCACAATCATGAATGAACAGGAGGGGATGCAGATCACTTCCCATTCATTCATAATTGAGGATATAGTAAACATACTATGTCCTGAATTATATACAAACACTCAGCAATCACTGATCGCTGAGTGTTTGTACTCGCTTTCCATCCTGACAGCTGTCATAGGAGGCTGAGCGAGCGGTGCGGGAGGAGAGCTCAGCCTCCTGTGACCGCGCTGGCTGTCTCCGCCCACACACCGCTCTGCCGATCTGTGAAATGAGGCTGAGCGGTGTGGAGAGGAGAGACGCCGGCCGCTCACAGCGCTCTCCTCCTGCAGAGCTTGGCCACCTCTGACAGTTTTTCTCCTCCACGCTGGGACACAGAGAAGCCCCCAGCGGGGAGGAAAGAAAGAACGGATGCACCGCTATATCAGCCGCTAAATGCCACTTGCCGAATTTAGCCAAAAGTGCCATTCTCGGCCGATATATCAGTGCATCCCTAGAAGAGACACAAGCTTTGCCCTTTCATGTCTCGTCTTCTGAAAAGAAACACCCCCTACTGTTTGGGCTGCCCCTTTAATGCTGCGAAGGATGCCATTACCGATCCAGATGACAGACAAAATTAGCTGTAAGGCCACATACTCAACAACTTGATGAACCTGTCACCTTTACATCTGTCCTTTCCCCTGGCCTCCACATCTCGCTAGAGCTGTGGAGTCTGTTACGTCTTTGCTTTGTAACACTTTTGGGTTATGACTCTCATTCTCCGGTGTTTGGTGCTTGCATGGACCTCTTCAGAATCTGGGACCACCCTTGCTCTTCGCCTTAGTTATGTCACTCCTTCTGTAGTGCACACTTTGGGACATCACAATCCGAACCTAGGCAAGAATCTAGTGAATCTAGTCAATATGCACCAACACTTCTTTTTTGGAGAAGGTTTTTCGATGAAGACTCCCTTCAGTTGTTTTAATTGGTGATGATTTAATTTTTTTTAGTTTCTCCCGCTCTAATTACTCCTGTATTGTATTCCTAATTGGAGAAATCCTCTAAGATTACCTGTTAAAGTATCATCATGATATAGGTTCCTGGAAGGCTCTTCAGCCAACTGATTGTGATTTTACATTTTATTCCCCTTTAGCAAAACTTTCTTGCAGCTCCACAACCTTTTAATCTCTCCATCTTAAAATTCAGTTCTTTGAGAGGCAACAATAGAGGCAATCAGTTGGTCCGATCACACTCTCATCCTGATGTTTTTGAATTGGTGCCTACCTCCTCCTCCTTTACCCTCATGGAGACTTAAAATTTCTCTTCTTTTAGAAGTTGTAGTGGTATCTGACTCATCCATCTCTGATTACTTTACACCGAATGAACATTCCATTGATGATTTTTCTTTTGCATGGGAAGCACACAAAGTTACCATGCGAGTAAGCACATTTCTATTGCGCTCCACAGAAAACAAAAAAACATTTAAGCAAAACTGACCATCTTTGTAAAACATCGCTATTGCCCTCCATTTGCTGCCGAATACTCTAAATTCACAAACAACTATTGACATTACAGTCTGTCCAAAAATTGACACGTCTATCCACTACAATAAACAGCTTTAATATGAAAGGGGAAATAAGGCTCACACTCTCCTGACTAGGAAGCAGTCCCGTTATAGTCTTCAGAAAGACCTTCCCTATGCATTCCTGATCTGTCCCTTCAAGCTTATTTAGCTGAATGCAGCCAAAATAAGTATTAATGTGGATATGCATAGTAGTTCTATTAGAGACTTACAATTAAAAAAACTTGCAGATGTTATCTTATAAGTATAAGCATATATAAGTTGGAGGCCCTGACAACTTACATGTACTCATACAAGTACCTCTGTCAACTTCACCAACTTATATCCAACTATTTCTTTCCGTGGCAGCGGGCTTCCATTAAGTATTTGGGGTTTTACATAACTACAGTGTAGAAACCTTATACTGTATAACTGCAGTTCCCACTCTTATTTACTAGAATTTGACAAAGTCTCCTGAAATGGGATTTCTATGCCATCTTATGGTTAGATAGGATGATTTAGTTAAAAATTTATATTTTTACAAAAATGACTTTTCTACTATACCACTGAAAGTTCCTAATTTCAGTCTCTACAGAAATCGAAGTACAAATTTATTTGAAACCACAAGGATCTAGGATTAGCCATGGAGTTCTCAGGATCCATGTATCACAGGAAGGTCTCGAGGTTTCCAACCTTCAATGTTATTATGCAAACCACTTATGCCAACTGTTATGTTAAGCAAACATGTACTTATTTGGATGTGTCCCTGAGAGTGGTTCCACCCACTGTACCAGTATCAAGTTTTTGTCAAACTTAATAATTACTAATAATAAATGTCACTGCCAAAAAACCCTCAAAACACAAGACAGAAAAGTAATTGAAGCAGCAGTTTCCCTTAAAATGAACCTAGTCTTTTAAATGACTGACAAGTTTATACTTCAGGCATTAAACAGTCTCTCATCTGTCATGTGGTCTCCTGGACAGGCGAGGCAGTGGGAGTGCACAGCAGAGGCTGCAATAGTACATTAGGCGCAGATCTCATGGCATGGGAGTTTTAGGTGTGCTCAAATAAGAACAGGTTTGATTTAAAGTATTCTTCAACCCTACTGTGAAAAAATATGTTGCTACAGCGCTCAGCACTTACCTTGTTTGAAGTCTTGTTTCGTTTTCAGGCTACGGTTGCCTGGAAATTCATATCTTCAAAACACCCCTTTCATGGTTTCTGT